ATTAAATGGAATCAACACTGAATACACATTGGAAGGACTGATGCTGAAGCTGAAGCTCCAATACTTTGGCCACCTGATGGGAACAGCTGACTCACTGGAAAAGACCCCGATGCTGGGAAAGATTGAGGGCAGAAGGAGAAGAGGGTGATAGAGGATGAGATGGTTGGATGGTGTCACCGATTCAATGGACATGAACTTGGGAAAACTCCAGCATATGGTGAGGGACAGGGAAGCCTGTCATTTTGCAGTCCTTGGAGTTGCAAAGAGTCAGACATGACTTGGTGACTGAACAGAAACAACATCTGGAAAACATCATTTGTCAAAATTTTATAGTAATGTTCATTGGTGTAAGAGTTGCTTTGAGATATGTAATTTTAATCAGGAAATATTGTTTTGAGTTGCTCCGTTGTGTCTGACTCTTTGTGATCCCATGGACTGCAGCACGCCAGGTTTCCCTGTCCATCACCAGCTCCTGGAGTTTGCTTGAACTCATGTCCATTGAGTCGGTGATCCTACCTAACCATCTCATCTTCTGTCATCTCCTTGTTCTCCTGCCATCAATCTTTCTCAGCATTAGGGTCTTTTCTAATGAGACAGTTCTTCACATCAGGTGGCCAAAGTATTGGAGCTTCAGCTTCAGCATCAGTCCTTCCAGTGAATATTCAGGATTGATTTCCTTTTGGACTGACAGTTTTGATCTCTCTTTTGAGAGTCCAGGGGACTCTCAAGAATCTTCTCCAACACCACAAATCAAAAGCATCAATTCTTCAACGTTCAGCCTTCTTTATGGTCCAACTCTCATATCCATACATGACTACTGGAAAAACCATAGGTTTGATTATACAGACCTTTGTTGGCAAAGGAAGTATTGAGATGTATAAAATCTTTTTTTTTAATTTATGGGCACACCAACATGAAATACAACCTTAGAAAAAGTTCTGTTGCAACAAGGAGTGACTGGTACCTTTGTTTAATGGCTCAGAAACTCTGAGTCAGAAGGGATCTTAGGTATTTCCCAGACCAACCCACTTACTGTGGTTTCATTTGACCCCTGCTCTGCCCTTGGAAGCCCCAGATCAGAGGACTGATGCCCGAGGTGAGGATTACGATGATGCTAAAGAGGTACCATTGCCTGGGGCTCCTTCTGCCTCTCAGGGGAGTGAGGAGGAAGTGACCCCAGAGAAGGTGGATACAACGAGGTCCTCTCAGACAGGTGAGTGGAGTTAGCTGATCTCCTGCAGTCTTTGGTCTCTATCCTGGAAATGGTGAATTTGATCTGCTCAGTGTCCATCCCTCCTAGATATTCCAATTTTGGATGATCTCAAATAGTTGATAGCATCATCTTGATCTTATTCCTTTCTTTAATGCTGTCAGACTCCTGAGAAGAGAGGAAGCACTCTAGTATTAGTATCTGTGTCTGCGTGATTTTATCCTTCATGTTCCTGCATTAAGACTTGTAGATTACTTGAGCATATTTACCTAATACAAAAATAGAATAACTGAATAACATTTTGTGCTGTCTCATATGTGAAATGCAGTTAGAGATTTTAAAGACTATGTTAGTATTGGAATTTGTAAAGCATTTTTATACTTTAAAATGCACTCTGACCATAGGTCAACCCAAATATGTATAAAGTGGATGATATATATGGTCCTAAAAAACAGAAGCATGATGGTGGATTATGGACTCAGTATTTGTGAGCAGGTTCATGTTAATCTGTTCCAGACATTTCAGTGGCCAAGGAAATACACTCATTCTCCATGAAGGGTATTTCTCCATCTGAGGTTTGTGTGTTTCCTGTGGGAGGGGCAACTGCAGAAGGATTCCATGGTTGCTTTTTGTGGGCTTTTGGGAACACAAATCAAGACCACCAAGAGAAGAGTTGATGGCCAGTGAGGAGCTGAGATTTCTCCAGATGTGAACTCCTATCTCCCTCTTCTTGTTGTTTCAGACTTGTTAATTATGAAAAAAAGAAAATTTTACACCCCTTCTAGAGATTCTTCCCTTCTTGGGTATCTCCTTGCTGATTGTTTAGCCAGGGAACAGATCTCCTGTAATCCAGGATTTCCCATTTAAGTTGAGACCTCAGATAGGCTGAATCCTTTTTATTTGGGAGGTGAAGGAGAGGAGAAATGCTGCAAGATTGCAGGTCTTAGTGCCTGAAACAGAAATTGTACCTGGGGCACAGAAGTGAAAACACCACGTCCTGACCACTGGACCACTAGCCAATTCCCGGGCCCAGATCCTGAGAAGACAGCCCTGATCCATGCTCACTGAAATAAACATGAAATAGCCTGAGCCTCCCTGGGCACACCTGGATCCCAGGGATGCTTTATCGTCACCACTTACTTGACTCACTTCCACCACAGGGCTCTGTCATGTCTCTCTGTTTCAGTTCTAATCAAACTTTTCGTTCCTACTTCAGGTTCTTCTCTGAATATCTCTAGAGAGGCGACTGATCCTGGGGAAGAAGAGAGCCCCTGGTTGCTCCAGGGGGAAGAAGCAGACACTGAGTACGATGATGTTGAATTAAGTGCCCTGGAAACATCCATAGTTACTTTCCCATGATGTTGTATTAAATACGAGATGATGCCTCAGATATTCTAATGCCCATATTTCAATAGAGTAGTGCTGACCTATCACTCATTGCTCATAATGAAATTGCTCATAGTGAAATATTCTCAATAAAGTAATTTTTGCCTTGTTGATGATAGCAAGATTCATTCCAAATGCTCTTAGAGGATTGGTACTCAATCACAATTTCCTTCTAAGGAAATACCAGATGCGTGAACTGACTTGTCTCACCTCCCCCAAATGCTAATGAAGGCATGACTTCACTCAGGCTCAGAAATTCTCCAGGTCACTCTTCCTTAGACAACAGATTTTAAACTTTGTCCACACTCACACTTTCATTCTTAGCAAGGTGAACTTGTTTGGGGGACGGAAATCCTGAATCTTCCTATATGCTCTTCCTCTTCCCCAAAATGTCACACCATCTGTTTTTATTCAGTTATTAGGCACCAGATTGGGTGTGAGTTTCAACGTCGAGGGTAAGAGATTGGCTGGTGGAAGAGAATGCTTACAGCTTTCCTTACCCTAAATTCTCATGGCCAATTAAAAATCTCACTCTACATAACTACCTCTTCCTTTTCATCTCCCATTCCCTAGGTTACTTTTTTCTGTTTTTTCCTCAAGTGCATATAGACTCTTTATCTCTCTTCTCCCATGTCTAGTTGGTTATCAAATCCTTTTAAATCCAGTCTTGCCTCTCCATCACTTCCTACTACTTCTTCAGGATATTGTCATTTCTTGTCTGTCCAATTATCTAGCTTTTAAAGTGAATTACATCAGCTCATATCTCCCTCCAAGTTGATGAAGGGCAAATTGGTGCTAACTCACACCCTGTATCCCGGTGGGACAAAGTGAAAGTGTTAGTCGCTCAGTCGTGTCCGACTCTTTGCCACCCTGTGGACTGTAGCCTGCCCGGCTCCTCTGTCCATGAGACTCTCCAGGCAAGAATACTGGAGTGGGTTACCATTCCCTTTTCCATTCCCTTTTCCTGGGTGGGGATCTTCCCCACCCAGGGATCGAACCCAGGTCTCCTGCCCTGCAGGCAGATTCTTTACCATCCGAGCCACCACTGAGGGGCATCAGATAGAATAAGGGGGCAAGAAATTGGAGAACAAGACAGAGGGGATCTAGAAGAAGGGATATAGACAGAAAGATCAGGAAGTTTTGGCTTTGAGTTTTATTGATGTCAATAGAGGAGTCTGATACGACTGAACTCTTAGAGGAAGAATTTCAGATCAATAGGCTTCTCTAAAATATGTTGTTTAAAGAGTCCTTTGATCTGGTAACTGTCGAAAATGTAAATGTGATCCTGCTGTGATTCTTCAGGGTAGAGAGAGCTGTCTTGTAGGAGTGACCAAGTAAACAGTACATTTTCACAATACCCCCGCCTCCTGTCCATTACATTGTGGACATGTGGAGAAGCTGCTGAACTAATATAAGACCTAAGAGTGCTGGCCTGATTATGATTTGTGGCCAACCTGTTATTTAGTTGATGGTTCTGGATGATGTCAGGGCTCCAACCTACACTCATGCTTGTAATCTCTATAATTTTTTTCTGTGCTGGGGATTAGAAGATTCCTAGGGCTCCTCTAAGTGCAGCTCAACATGGCCATTTGCCATTGGGAAGTGATGAAATAAGTGACAGAGTAAAGTGTACCCATCAAGAATGTTAAATTTTATTCCTGATCTACGGTATCCATGAAGCCAAAATAGCTGGCTACTATAATTCTGGGTGATAGAAATCATACAAAATTATGGGAGAGGAGAAGAGGACAAGATTTCCCACCTAGACTTAGGAGAGTCTCAGGATGAGCCTATTATGGATTGAGTGCTCAAAACCAGCCAGGAGTTGGTGAATAAACTTTTGGACTATTTAGATCAGGGAGATGAGGGCAATCATTCCAAGTTATCCATGTGGCCTGTGAAGGGGCCTTTTGTGAGGGGTGGTTTTGGAGGGTTTATCATTCCAGGGTCTGTCACAAGAGCCAGAAAACTTCTCTGCAGAGTACTAATTATGACAAGACAGCCAGAATGTCATGTGGGGAAAGTATTTATAGGAAATTCTTTCCTATCAATAGTGCACTTAGCCTGTTAAGCTTGGAGGCCTGTCCTATGTTATTTGAGAAGACCCAGTGAAAGTCTCTAGATTTTTCTGAAACCTCACAGGCACTTATCACCCATAAATACTTTATTCTGGCAGAGTAGAGTAAGTTACAAAGACATGAAAATATCAGGGATTATGTTTCATGGCAACTTTCAATGTAAAACCCCGTATCGCAGGTAATGATATGATTTCTACAGAGAAAAAAATGCCTTTAATCATAGTTCCACGTCAAAACTATAATTATGAAGAAGACAGGATTATCATTTATTTGAGAAACAATATTACAGAGATGTCTTTCAAGAATTTCTTGCTTCAAAAATGGTACTACATGGTGCTAAGCTCAACATCATCATATCCATGCTCTTCTTGTCTCAGGACCAATGAGGACTCCTTCTCTTCCACCCCAGAGTCGACAGTTTCTCTCAGAGACTTCAGAGAGATGCCTGAAACAGTAAGGAGAAACTGGTTTTAGTGATGACAAAATGACAAGACACAACCTCTGATGGAAGGATAGTAAAAGGGGCCACAAAGTATCTGAAGTGAGGGGGAGCACCCAGCATCGTCTAAAAGTCTAGATTGAGCTACTTCATACTGACTCAGCTACTCTATGCAACATCTTGTCTGGACCTTGGCAGTTGGAAAGAAGATGGACCAATAGTGGCAAGGAGTGGAAAAGAGATGTGCATGCCTCTTCCACACACAGTGGGTCTGATTTCTCAAGAAGTGGAGACAGGAGATGATCTCTATAAAGTGCCTCAGATGCCCTCTTCTGAGCACCTCAGCAACAGAACCAGCCTGACCTACAAGCTTCATGAGAACACCCTGGGTCCTCTGTCAGATGCCAGAAAGAGGCAACTCAACCAAACTCCACAACCTCCTGCTCCCCACATATAAGCAGAAAGCCTAGTCCTTGGGAATGAGGGTCTTCATTTGGCAATTGAACCAGTGAGAGAAAATTTTCTCTTGATTTCCTTCTAGTGCTGAGACTTTATGATTCTCTAGTGAAGGCTAGTGCCAATTCTGCTTTAATAATGAGCAATCAACTTTAAATATATGGTTACACAGATCTCTCAAAACAAGTTTTATAGCTCATAAATTTAACTTACACCTCCATTAAAAACATTTCAGATTAGTTCTTACAATTTGAAAAATCCCCAAATTTATTGCCAAAACATATTTCAATTTGGGGTATGAAAATGGGAACAAAGCCTCTGTAACTCATACAAATGTGTGTTTATCCAATTGATGATGGACATGGACAAGAGAACATAGTATGTTCTCCTCTCAGAAAAGATGAAGTAGCTCCAATATTCCAGAGATAAGGAAAAGTCAATTATACCTGGTACATGTGGTGCATGCGTGCTCACTTGTGTTTGACTCTTTGCAACCCCATGGACTGTAGCCCACAAGACTCTTCTGTCCACATGATTTTCCAGGCAAGAATACTGGAGTGGGTTGCCATTTCCTTCTCCAGGGAATCTTACTGACTCACGGATCAAATCCAAGTCCCTTTTGTCTCCTACATTGGCAGGCAGAGTCTTTACCACTGCACCACCAGGGAAACCCATCTAGGTATACAAGGCTACCCCAGTTTTGATAGTTAAGAAACAATGACTGTTGGTGAGTCAAACTCATCTTCTCCATGATGATAAAGTCAGGCTATTGAGCTGTCAACTCACCAGTCTGGGAATACCTGGCACCACCTCTATCATCTGGGAAAAAGTTATTCTCATTCATCCCAGGGAATAAAGGATTTACAGGAACAGATAACTCATCAACATCATCATAACCATTTCCTATGGTGTTGATGTTCTGTCCCGGAGGCTCTGAAAACAGACAAGAACTTAGGTGAAAAAGCAAAATATGAGTTGGACTAAGTGATGCTCCAAGTCCCATCTAAGGCAGAGATTCAAATAAATGATAAATATATATTCCATATTCCATGGCTGTCAAAGGCTTGTATTTGATCTCAGTGTGCTCAGAAATCATTTAAACCTTCGAAATATTCCAATATATCAGGGTCAATTATATTTTTCTACTATGGTCTCTCATATCATAAAGAATCAACAAAATCTATAATGCTATGAGCTTCAGGTACTCTTTTTGAGCATGTGATACAGAGTTGTAATACATACTATGCACATATCAATGATTGGGGAACATGAATCTGAACCAAGAGAACCCAGGTGTCCGTGTGCTCTCTGAAACTCTGGGAGACACAGAGCTGGTAAGAGAGGGATCCTGTACATCTGTTACTCAGAGACAGAATATTCCACCATCCCAGTCATAGGACGCCTGGGTTTCAGTCCCTTCTAGCCTTTGGTTGACCTTAGTATCCCGCCTCCAGGGGATGTCCATCTTTACTAACTGGAGAAGATCCAGGAAGGCATTCTCCTTTCTCTGTGTGTGTGAGCCTGCTCAGTCATGTCCGACTCTTTGTGACCCCATGGACTGTAGCCTGCCAGGCTTCTCTGTCCATGGGATTCTCCAGGCAAGAATACTATAGTGGGTTGCCATGCCCTCCTCCAGGGAATCTTCCCAACCCAGGGATCAAACCCTATCAAGACACAAGACACCCTCTTGTGTCTCCTGCATTAGCAGGTGGAGTCTTTATCACTGCACCACCTGAGAAGCCCGTCTAGGTATAAGAGGCTACCCCAATTCTGACAAAAGGAAAAACTGACTATTTTTTTTCCATTTATTTTTATTAGTTGGAGGCTAATTACTTTACAATATGGTTTTTGTCGAAACTCATCTCCACATGATGAAGTCAGACTACTGAGCTGTCAACTCACTTGTCTGGGAATAACTGGCACCACCTCTGTCCTCTGGGGAAATGTTATTCTCATTCATCCCAGGGAATAAAGGATTTACAGGAACAGGTAACTCATCAATATCATCATAACCATTTCCTGTGGTGCTGATATGCTGTCTCAGGGGATCTGTAAACAGACACGGACTTAGGTGAATAGCAAAGTATGTGTTGGACTAAGTGATGCCCTAAGTCCCTTCTAACGCAGAAGTTCAAACAACTGATAAATATAGACTCTATATTCCAAGATCACGTCAAAGGCATGTATTTGATCTCAATGTGCTCAGAAATTGTTTAAATCTTTTAACTATTTCAATATATCAGGGTCAATCATATTTTTCTAACAAGGTCTCTCATATCATAAAGCATCAACAAACGCTATTATGCTATGAGTTTCAGATACTATATCAAGCATATGGTACAGATTTGTCACACATATTGTGCACATATCAGTGACAGGGGAGGATGAATCTGGACCAAGAGAACCCAGGTGTCCGTGTGACCTCTGAAGCTCTGGGAGATACAGAGCTGGTGGGAGGGGGATCCTGGACATCTGTTATTCAGAGACAGGATATCCCACTATCCCAGTCACAGGACGCCGAGGTTTCAGTGCCTTCTAGACCTTGGTTGGCCTTAGGGTCTCACCTCCAGGGGTTGTCCATCTTCACTATCTGGAGAAGATCCAGAGAGGACATTCTCCTTTCTCCAGTTCCATGTAAGTAAGAGTTTCTGGTAATTGGTAAGTACCAGCACTGATCACTCCATATATTCCAGGGCTTATCAACAGCAATATATTTGTCTCAATACATACAAAATTCCATAAGATGATCAAAATATCAGACTGATTCTGGATCCAACTATAGTTTCCAATGTTCTCTTTAGCCACACAATTTTGAGTTTATCAGTTTCAAATTTTTTTAAATGGTCTTAAAATCTTTAATGGTACATTAGATAATAATCTACTATTAGATACATGCATGTTCAGTTGCTTCAGTCGTGTCCAACTCTTTGAGACCCCTTGTACTGTAGCCTGCCAGGCTCCTCTGTTCGTGGGGATTCTCTGGGCAAGACTACTGGAGTCAGTTGCCATGTCCTTCTTCAAAGGGTCTTCCTGACCCAGGGATCAAACCAGCATCTCTTATCTCTCCTGCATTGGCAGGCGGGTTCTCTACCACTAGCGCCACCTGTGAAGCACTACATATTCAGTCTGTAACTGGGTAGAAGTGGCTGTGAACACAGAGAACTAGGTCTGATCTTTCCATTTCTGAAGTCATGGAGTGGGCAAGAGAGGGAAAAAGTTGTTGTGAACTAGAGAAAAGAGATCTTTCCCATCTTAATCACAGGAAGAGATTCTCAGACAAGATTCCTCCTCCACATCCCCACCATCCAAGGAAAGACCTGCTACCAGGGGCAGAGTCAGAGCCTCCATCCTCTCCATCGTCCCCTGTGTAATACGGCAGCTTAGCTGCTGAGTCATCAGACAGGTTACCTGGTAGGGAGAAAATCATCATAGAAAAATGGTAACCTTTCCCCTGTCATGGTAGGATGCCTGCTGTCATAGTTTAGAGGAAATATTGAGACTTCAAACTTGTAGAGAGAAGGCTTGAAACTCCATGTGAAGTTGGACTAGTAAGATTCGGTCTCTGCTGAAAATAACACACAGCCAGCTCATGAGCAGACTTGAGGGCATGGGACTTACCTTGGCTGTCTAACAGGTCCTTCTTCCCTGGGTTTATGATGTCATCAATCTCCTGGTACACAGCTTCATCAACAGCATCTTCAAAATCAGATAACTCTGGGAAAATGGCATGAGTTAGAGACTGACCGTGGAGTTAATCACTTTATCAACAGCCAAAGCCTTCAGTGCTCTCCAACGTTCCCCCTTGGGGAACCACTCTGGGCTGCTCAGGCTCCTTCCTTAGCTACATGGAACAGAACTAGATTTCCTGACCCTGACCTTGATCTCACACTCAATATCCACTGGCACTGTTCACACAGGAAGTCATAATTCTCAAGAAATTTTACATTCACCTGGGACCAAAGATTCCATTCTTTCAAATCCTGTTGTCTACTGTAGAAAAGGTGGGATTCTACCAGATAATAAGCACAGAGACCAATACTTGTGCACTTTCTTGATGTCACAACAGACTCAATTCCTTCCCCACCACTTTCCAGATCATTTGGCATCCCTAAGGCCCACCTTGGCGCTCTGCTCTCCATCTGTGTAGTTGAATCCTCAGGATGATGAGGATCATGAAGAGAAGGGCTCCGAGGATGATGCAGATGATCATGGGAAGGGAGAAGATGCCAGGGGCTGGAGATGAGTCAAAGTGGACCATAGGGTTTTAAGAGGGTCATAAGTCCAAAGGAACCCCTCTGTCCTTATACTGGTCCTCTTCTGAGTCTTTAAGACCATGAAGTCACCATTAAGATACAATGGGTTTGCCTCAACCCCAAGATGTGATCAACAGAGGTCTTTCCCTGAGCTATGTCAAGTGTCTTCTCATTCTGGTTCCAGAGGATTTTTACAGGATGAAAGTTGTTAAAGCTCTGGAGGACTCCAGTTGCCACTGAATTGTAACAGAATTGTAAACATGAGATCGTTAAGGTTTTCTGTACTGATACAGGTAGTTTTGGTGAAATATAAAGATATATAGTGCAGGTGCCTGAAAATATGGGGATCTCCTCAATCACACTGCTCAGAGCAGCAGAACACTTACTTCTGTGGCTGGAGGGAACAGCTGTTCTCTCACTAGGAGAGAAGGAAAAAATAGATTATTGTACTGAGTTGATCGGGAAGAGCCATCAGTTACATCTATCTTTATGGGTATATCATTCTCTCCCAGATCCCAGGAAATCAGATAATAGCTTTTCCTGGAGCCAGGGCACAAAGCAGCAGGTTATCCCAGGAAGTGCTTCTGGATACAAACTCACACTTGTCCTCCACTCACTAGGGCAGACCCGCGCCCCTCACTCACCAGGGCGGACCCCGCGCCCCTCACTCACCAGGGCGGACCCGCGCCTCTCACTCAACCAGGGTGGACCCGCGCCCCTCACTCAACCAGGGTGGACCCGCGCCCCTCACTCAACCAGGGCGGACCCGCGCCCCTCACTCACTAGGGCGGACCCGCGCCCCTCACTCACCCAGGGCGGACCCCGAGCCCCTCACTCACCAGGGCGGACCCGCGTCCCTCACTCACCAGGGCGGACCCGCGTCCCTCACTCACCAGGGCGGACCCGCGCCCCTCACTCACCAGAGCACCTCACTCCGCACCCCTCACTCACCAGGGCGGACCCGCGTCCCTCACTCACCAGGGCGGACCCGCGCCCCTCACTCACCAGAGCACCTCACTCCGCACCCCTCACTCACCAGGGCGGACCCGCGCCCCTCACTCACCCAGGGCGGACCCGCGCCCCTCACTCACCAGAGCACCTCACCCCGGCGTCCTCCTCGTGCTTGCAGTCGCTCTGCCCCCAGGGCCCCGCGGCACAGGCCCACAGGGAGGACTCCCGGCCCCCGCACCGCACCTCGTCCAGCCAGATGCTCCCGTTTCCAGGGCCAAACGCCGCGGCCCGCACGGCTTCCAGGGCCAGGCCACAGCCCAGCTGCTGACACACCACCTCGGCCTCTGTCAGGCTCCAGGAGTCATCGCACATGGTGCCCCAGGAGCCGCTGTGCCAGACCTCCACCCGCCCTGAGCACTCGCTGTCTCCTCCCCTGAGCCGGAGCTTCTCTCTGTCTGAAAAGGCAGCAGCCCCTCCTGTGACTCCCCTGGTGGGAGGAAGGAGCCCCTGGGAGCCCTGGGGAGGGGGCAGCAGCTGGGCAGCTCTGGTGTCTCCCTCCTGTAGGATCAAAGATGGGAAGTGCTGGATCAGGGACAGCTGGGGCTGGTCTTGTCCCCAAACAAGATTATCAAAGGTCCTTGGCTTAATCCAAACAAGTGAAAACAGAGGCTTCATCATCTAATGAGCTGAGACATTAACTGCGTCTTGCCACAAGCTGAAATTGCTTTATCTCTTTGCTGTTTACCAGGTCCATACCCCCAACGAATACAAATACATGGAAACACAGACAGAAACACAGCGCACCTTTTTCTAGATTCAACCTAAACTCATCACTTAGACTGGAAAACATAAAATCACACTAACAACATCCTACAGGGTTGGGACAGACACAGAAACAGAACAGTAATTTACCTGCACATGAGATATAGGCTTCTTCCTTTGAAGAGCATGAGTTGTAATCCCAAGGGTCAGAAGGACACTGCCAGAGAGAAGTGTCAGTTTTCTGACAACAGATTCCATCTACCCAGCGGGGTCTAGAACCTTCCCTAAGAGCAACTAAAGGGTTGAGACTTCCACTGTTCCCACAGCCAAGCTCTCTGCAGATCATGGACACGGTGATGTCTTCCATGGGGCTGCGGCAGACACTGCCCCAGGTCCCATTGTAGAAAACTTCCAGCCACCCACCACACTCCTGGTCCTCGCTCACCATCCTGAGGGCCAGGAAATCTAAGATTGAAAAGGAGAGGAAACAGGACATAGCACTCCACTCAGTGCTCTGGGTTTTCCTCTTTCCAAGAATTTGTGACTATACATCCCTGACCTAGTTGAGGAGATGTCCACGAGGTAACAAGAATGACATTAATCTCCCTTTCATTTTACTTTGTCATTTTGTGTCTATTTCTACCACAATGATGTCCTGGATATGAAGAGAGAGAAAAACCAATCTGGGCACCTGCAAGGAGTGGGAGCTAGATCCTGCTTCCTGGTAAAATCTAAAATGGATCTGTGAATGGGATGTGATATGGATACTGGGGGTGGGGGGTAGGCAGAATAATGAACCACAAATCTCTACATCATAATCTGTGGAACCTGTGAATATGTTACCTTACATTTGAAAATGGACTTTACAGATGTTATTAAGGTAAGGACTTGGGGGTGGTGAGATTAAGCTGGAATTAACCACCTAAGTCCAGCCTAATCACCTCCTTAGCTTCTGGTATCCTTAGATGGATAACCTTGCAAAGCTCCAGTTAGAGAGAAATGTAAAGAAGAATGCTCAGAAGAGACATAGTTTGCTGTAGGTCTGAAGAAGAGGGCTCTGAGCCAAGGAAGGAGGTCACATAGAAACCAGGAAAGGCTGGTAAAGGAGTCCTCCCCATGCCTCCAGAAAGAACGTGCTCTGTGAACACCAGGATGTTGGCCCTCGGAGACCGTCGGCAGACTCCTAGCAAACAGAACTGAACAGAGTAAATCTGTGCTTTCATTACAGCATCAGCAGGATCTCTAGACTGTACTACCACAGGGAACTGAAGAGAGCCCTGCTGTCGCGTGGAAACTGTAAGAAACAGCTCTGCCAGGAAACACTGCTGAGAAGAAAGGACAAAAATGTCAGGGGCTGCAGGAGGAAGTGAAAGCACCTCGTCTTCATGTCTGCTGGAAACACAGGTTCCATGGGAGGAAGCCTCCTTCTCTGGTCCTTTCAGCATCTCTCCCTCAGGGTTCAGATCCTCGTCCTCCAGAGCCCCACCCCTGCCCCAGCCTGTGGACAGTGTGCAGCGCAGACCTGAGCAGATGACCCCCACGTCCTGCTTGTGTCTGCAGTAGTGCCGCCCCCAGCCCCGGGAAGGGCACCTCCACACGTGGGACTCAACGTGCAGTTCAGGTTGTCCAGCCAGATGGGCCCTGATCCCGCCCCGAAGTGAGCAGACCTCATGGCGTTGAGGGCTTCTCCACAGCCCAGCTGCCTGCACACCACGCGGGCATCGTCCAGGTCCCAGCCGTCATCACAAATGGTGCCCCAGGAGCCGTGGTCAAGGATCTCCACTCTCCCGGCGCAGGGACCGCCCCCGTCCACCAAGCGGAGCTCTCTGCTGTCTGGGGAGAGAGAAATGGGACAATGGGGCATTGACAGGGGAATGAGAAGGGTCTTCTGTCCTGTGGGACCCTCACCTGAGCAGTAGGGGGCGCTCTCCTCTGAAGCCGCTGAGGCCGCTGGTTCCGTCACTGGGTCCTTGCACTGGGGCAGCGCCTGGGTTTGCTTTCCTGCAGAAACAGCAATGATTAGAGCGCTGGGAGGTTGAAGAACTGGAAACTGATTTAAGCTAAATAATGATCTAGTGGTGGAGCCTGAGATGGGAGCTACAAAATAACAGCAAAGTTAATCTAATTTTAATCTCTATTGAGAGTACTGTGTCTGAGAAAGCCAAAAAATTTTCTTTTACGCTATGAATTGTCCTAAGAATGAGTTACATGTGTATTTCTGAATTATGATTTCCTCGCTGTTTATGCCCAGTAGTGGGATTGCTGGGTCATATGCTAATTTTAGTCCTAGGTTTTAAAGGACTGTGGCTCCACCTGAGGACCGGTGGGAGGAGCAGACAGAGAGGGCCAAACAATTCCCCAAGCAGAAGGGAAGGGTGGATATGGCCTCCCAGGTACCTTGGTTTAAGCAGCTGGCTCACTTCAAGATGCCCTGGACATCTCACAAGGACTCCTGTGAGCAGGGCATTCAGAACCTGAGCTTCAAAATGAGGAGTGGACAGATGCTGGCTGTCATAGGGAGCTCAGGTGAGACCAAAGTTTAAAGAAGAGGAATGATTTACCTAAGGACATATATTTCATGCAGACTAAGAACTAGAACTCTGGTCTCCTGGTTCTCAGATGTTTTTTTAAAAATTCAACTGATTAAATTTTAAAGATCTTAAAAAAAAAAAAAAAGGACTGTGGCTCAGATCCTGAACTCTTATATTGCCAAATTCAGACATAAATTGAAGAAAGTAGGGAAACTACTAGACCATTCAGGTATGACCTAAATCAAATCCCTTATGATTATACAGTGCAAGTGAGAAATAGATTCAAGGGATTAGTTCTGATAGACAGAGTGTCTGAAGAACTATGGACGGAGGTTCATGACGTTGTACAGGTGACAGGGATCAAAACCATCCCCAAGAAAAAGAAATGCAAAAAAACAAAATGGCTGTCTGAGGAGGCCTTACAAATAGCTGTGAAAAGAAGAGAAGCAAAAAGCAAAGGAGAAAAGGGAAGATATACCCATGTGAAAGCAGAGTTTCAAAGAATAGCAAGGAGAGATAAGAAAGCCTTCCTCAGTGATCAATGCAAAGAAATAGAGAAAAACAATATAATAGGAAAGACTAGAGATCTCTTCAAGAAAATTAGAGATACCAAGGGAACATTTCATGCAAAAATGGGCACAATAAAAGACAGAAATGGTATGGACCTAACAGAAGCAGAAGATATTAAGAAGAGGTGGCAAGAATACACAGAAGAACTATACAAAACAGATCTACATGACCCAGATAATCATGATGGTATGATCACTCACCTAGAGCCAGACATCCTGGAATGCAAAGTCAAGTGGGCCTTAGGAAGCATCACTATGAACAAAGCTAGTGGAGGTAATGGAATTCCAGTTGAGCTATGTCAAATCCTAAAAGATGATGCTGTGAAAGTGCTGCACTCATTATGCCAGCAAGTTTGGAAAACTCAGCAGTGGCCACAGGACTGGAAAAGGTCAGCCTTCATTCCAATCCCAAAAAAAAAAACAATGCCAAAGAATGCTCAAATGCACAATCACACTCATCTCACATGCTAGCAAAGTAGTGGTCAAAATTCTCCAAGCCAGGCTTCAACAGTACATGAACCGTGAACTTCCACATGTTCAAGCTGGCTTTAGAAAAGGCAGAGGAACCAGAGATCAAATTGACAACATCCACTGGGTCATCGAAAAAGTGAGAGTTCCAGAAAAATATCTATTTCTGCTTTATTGACTATGCCAAAGACTTTGTGTGGATCACAACAAAGTGTGGAAAATTCTCCAAGAAGTGGGAATACCAGACACCTGATGTGCCTCTTGAGAAATCTGTATGCACGTCAAGAAACAACACTTAGAAGTGGACATGGAACAACAGACTGATTCCAAATAGCAAAAGTAGTACATCAAGGCTGTATATTGTCACCCTGCTTATTTAACTTATTTGCAGAGGACATCATGAGAAATGTAGGGCTGGATGAAGAACAAGCTGGAATCAAGGTTTCCAAGAGAAATATCAGTAACCTCAGATACGCAGATGACACCACCTTTATGGCAGAGAGTGAAGAAGAACTAAAGAGCCTGTTGATGTAAGTGAAAGAGGAGAGTGAAAAAGTTGGCTTAAAGCTCAACATTCACAAAACTAAGATCATGGCATCTGGTCTCATGTCAGGAAGCATTTAACAAGAGGCTTCCTGTGTGCTATTTTGGATCTGTCAGGAACCCTCTGGCCCTTATTGATTCCTGAATATTCAGGAATTAAGAGGAGAGGCATGCCTTTCCCGGGGCTGAGGAATCCAGGCATTTCTCATTACGGTGATAAGTACCCTCTTCCTTTTCATGAGCCATACGGTGAAAGGTGATTGTTTGCAACTCTCTCTTCGATAGGGATCATATTATGTTTTGTAACTCTGGAATTTTAATCTTTATCTTTGCTGAGAATAACTACAGTATATATGCCCACACCATGTTGATTAAAACACCTTTGCTCCATCAGAGCTTTGGTCCCCGTGTCGTGTCTTTCTTTCTTTCTTCTCTCTCTCTCTCTATTTCTGGCTAATTCCTTGGAGTGCGGAGGCCCGCTGAACTCACTTTCTTGCCCAGGCTTCTAAGACCCTCTCGAGAAGCCACACTGTGCCTTCACTCACTTGAGAGGGCACCTGGTGCCTACATGCAGCAGCTCGAGCCCTAAGAACAGGATTCTATTGGCTTTCTGCATAAACCAGGGGGTATCAGGCTCTTTCTCTTTCTTACTCTCTGGACCACCACGTTCCGGTCCATTAAAGGACCAACAGTCTCATCACTTCATATCAAATTGATGGGGAAACAGTGGAAACAGTGGCAGACTTTATTTTCTTGGGCTCCAAAATCATTGCACATGGTGACCTCAGCCATGAAATTAAAAAATGCTTACTTCTTAGAAAAAAGTTATGACCAAACCAGACAGCATACTAAAAAGCAGAGACATTACTTTGCCAACAAAGGTCCATCTAGCTAAAGCTATGGTTTTTCCAGTAGTCATGTATAGATGTGAGAGTTGGACTATAAAGAAAGCTGAGTGCCAAATAATTGATTCTTTTGAGCTGTGGTGTTGGAGAAGACTCTTGAGAGTCCTCTGGACTGCAAGGAGATGCAACCAGTCCATCTTAAATGGATCAGTCCTGAATATTCTTTGGAAGAACTGATGCTGAAGCTGAAACTCCAATACTTTGGCCACCTGATGTGAAGAACTAACTCATTTGAAAAGACTCTGATGATGGGAAAGACTGAAGATAGGAGGAGAAGGGGACAACAGAGGATGAGATGGTTGGATGGCATCACTGACTCAAGGGACATGAGTTTGGGTAAACTCCAGGTGTTGGTAATGGACAGGGAGGCCTGGCGTGCTACAGTCCATCTGGTCACCAAGAGTCGAATACGACTGAGCCACTGAACTGAACTGATATTGTTCTCCATA